AGAATGAATGATCAACATGGTTATCATATGAATTTATTGGCTCAAAATTATGAATTTGCCACATTCAGTCAGCCTCATTTTACATACACTGCAACACATGGTATTCATCAATCATTTGATGAAGGCTCGGGTAGTCAAAGACATATTGAGAGTAGCCACAATCAATATGAAATCAGGTAGAATAATCTTTTCAGCTAATTTTATTTAATAGCATGTAATTAATTATTTTCATTTTTTTGTATTTCATGAAATTTTTTTTTACAGAGAAGATGAAGCTACCTTTGATTTGTGTAATGATGCACATGCTCAAAGAAGTGATGAAAATTTGGAGGAGGATGAACCTTCAGAAGATGATGGAGAGAGTAAAGTCATTGAAAGTGAATCCGATGAAGATATTGGAGATTTACCTCAAAATGAAAGTGCGGTGAATTTTCAAAATCAATTTGATGCAATGCAAAATAATGATATACCTTACTTTACAACATTGGAGACTGAGGAAGATACTTTTATCTCTACTCGTGAATCCGAAATGAAATGTTGTTCTGTTTAGGTCGAGGATGCAAAAAAAGATTTAGAAAAAAATATGTATTTTAGTAGTAAAACTAAGTTAAAACGGGCTATGACAATTTGGAGTTTGCGCAAAAATAAAGAATTTAAGATTGTAATATCAACTAAGAGCGTATGGACTGTGAGATGCAGATTTTATGATTCTTTGGGTTGTCCATGGTTTCTTTGAGGTCGTAAGGTTGGAGGTAGCCTTTGGAAGATAGGAAAGTATTTTAATAATCATAGATGTGAGACTGAAGGGCTTACAACAGGTCACACTAACTTAGATACCAATTTAATTGCATCTCTATTTTTAAATCAAATAAGTAAAAATCCAAAATTGTTGGTAGTGGATGTCATGTCTAAGGTTAATGAAAAATTTGGCCATCAAGTAACATATAGAAAAGCGTGGCTTGGGCGTCAACGCGCATTTACATTGCTATATGGTGATTTTCAGAAATCATTTAGTGAGCTTCCTAAGTTTTTTGCAGCTTTTCAATACTTTAATCCTGGAACAGTTGTGGAATGGAAACACGAAGAGTCAATGAGTTCACCAGAGGTAAAAACTTTTAAGTTTGTATTTTGGGCTTTCAAGCCATGCATTGATGGGTTCCAAACTTGTCGTCCTGTTATTTCAGTAGATGGAACTCATATGTATGGTAAATATGAGATAAAATTGTTAATTGTTGTTGGAGTTGACGGAAATGATAACATTCTTCCTCTTGCATTTGGTATTGTTGACAAAGAGTCGAAAGAGGCATGGAAATGGTTTTTTAGGAAATTGAGTGCACATGTGATAAAAGATAGAGAAGATATTTGTATTATCTCTGATAGGGCAAAAGGAATCTTGACTAGTTTATCAGAGTTGTGGCGATTGCAGGAACCTCGGGCCTTTCATCGATTTTGTCTGAGACATCTTAAAAGTAATTTTCAATCTCAATTTCCAAATAAGGACCTCAGTAATCTTATGTGGAGGACTGCTACAACTCATCAAGTAAGGAAGTTTGAAGCTTTGATGTGGGAAATTCAAGAAGAAAATAGAGAAGCATATGAATACCTCATGCGAATTCCATTGGACAAATGGACTGTTAGTCATGATAATGGAAAAAGATGGGGAGTACTGACAACAAATCTTTCAGAGTCTTTCAACGGACTTCTAAAGAAAGCTCGAGGCTTGCCCGTCACTGCTATGGTTAGACTTTCATTGGAGCAAACCGTTGAACGATATACTCGTAGATGTCAAAAGACTCACCAACTTGTTGAGCAAAAGGAATTATGGACAAGCAGTTTCAAAAAGAAGTGGGAGAAAAACTATGAAAATTCAAAAAGACACTTTGTTTATGATTGGAATATATCCACAGGGGTATGTGAGGTTAGATCAATACAAATTGATGGTATTGGTGGTAATCCTCATTGTATTTCATTAAGTGAAAAAAATGTGATTGTGAAAAATGGGCTAATTTGCACTTCCCGTGTTCACATGTCATGAAGGTTATTGAAAGAATGGGAGTATTAGCTAGAAATTTTGTCAGCGAGCATTTCACAATAGAGAATTATGTTACAACATATTCTGGGTCATTCTCACTGATTGGACACGAGGCATATTGGCCATCGCCAAGCTTTATAATGAGAAGTAATGAATTCTATCGACGTCCCAATCGATCAAGGACCACTAGAATTCATAATGAGATGGATCGTGATCCTGCAACATATGGGCGGGCTTGTGTATTGTGTAAACAAACTGGACATGACAGGCGTCGATGTCCAACTCGAAATCAAATTTAAGTGGGTAGTCTAATTATGTATTTCTTTTACTTTCAAACAGCTCTAATTATGTATTTTTTTTAACTTTCAAACAGCTCTAATTATGTGTTTTGCTTCATTTCAATTTGTATTTTCATGACCAAGTTTATATTTTTGTGTGTTTCACTCAACAATTACTTCGCCCATATTTGTTCAACTAACCTGCCTTCATAAGTAAAATAAAATGACAACACCTTTTCAAATAGGCAATGTAAACTTACATCACCATTCTAAAGCTTTTATACTTTTGAAATTAAAGTAATCTATTCACAAAGTAAAATTAAATACCATACCAAAAAGTGCAGTGATTATAATGTTAGGTTCAGTAGCACCAAAATTTTTAGGCAACAACAAAAGGTTTCAGCATCAAAAAAAAAAAAACAACCGCACTAATTTCAGCAGTACTAGCTACAATTTTCAGCAACAACAAAATATTTTAGCAGCACCAATTTTCAGCAGTACTGGCTGCAATTTTTAACAGCAACAAAAGGTTTCAGCAGCACCAATTTTCAGCAGTACTGGCT